TAACTCATTATGCGTCGTCTTGGCATTCGAGATCGTATTTTAAGCAGTAGGTCATACATGCACATTTCCTTAACAATTTATATATAATTTGTTATAAATATACAACTTTACAAATACTTTCTAAAGATGTCAAGATACACGTAAGAACCATTAAAAAATTTTTATATACTCGTAAAAGCAACAAAAATTAAAGTATAAAATTTAAATAAAAAATTAAATAGTTATTTATACGAGTAGTATTCATTATTTTACACAACTACACTTCTGACTTATTTCTTATTTAATATTTTATATAAATTTCCGGAAATTATTTTTTATTTTTTATTTTAAACGAGTCGTATCTGCTTTTTACTAATTTCTACGATTTTGTATTCTAATTACGTTTCTGAAACTTATTTTATATTTTTTATTGTATATAATTCGTATGTCATTTTATTGAGCCGTGATCGGCATCATACGTAAGTTTAAAGTATTTCTGAAACACAGATAATTTGCAGTAACTGTAGTGTCTTAAATTAATTTATTAACTGAAAAATTAAGTAATGATTAACAAGATATTTAGTACTTTTAGCCAAAGCTGTATGTAGCACAAATTGTTTTACGATATTAAGGAAATTTGCATGTGTTTTATATAAAGAACATATATAGAATATTCTATCAACCTTTATTTGAATATGAATCATTAAAAGGAATAATAAAAATTGAGACATAATGTTGGAATATCAAAAATACCCCAGACACGCGAATAATTATTAATTATGTTTAAAAGAACCAGTAATATATATTACTTGCATGGTTCTTTTAAACGTAATTAATAACGTAAATAATAATTATTATCGCGTGTGGGTATTTTTGGTATTCCAACATTATGTGTCAATTTTTATTATTCCATTTAGTGATTCATATTTAAATAAGTGTTGATAGAATATATTTTATATATATTCTTTATATAAAAACAAATTTCCTTAATATCGTGAAACAATTTGTGCTGCATTTCTCAGCAGCTTTTCTCTAAATGTACTAAATATCTTGTTAATCATTATTTAATTTTTCAGTTAATAAATTAATTTAAGACGCTACTATTACTGCAAATTATTCTGCTTTTTTGAAATTCTTTAAACTTATACGTATAATGGCTCGATAAAATATAACATGTAAATTATTTAAAATAAAAAATATAAAATAGGTTCCGGAAACTTATTAAAAAAATATTAAATAAGAAATAAGTCAGAAATGTAGTTATTTAAAATAACAAATATACTAAATAACTCTTAATTTTTTTTGTTTAAAATATATACTTTAATTTTCAGAGCTTTTACAAGTATATAAAAATTATTAAACAATTTTGACATCTTTAGAAAGTATTTGTAAAGTTGTACATTTATAACAAATTGTATATAAATTGTTACAACTAAATATAGTTAACAAAATGAGAAAAATGTACATTTTTACACAAAAATGTAAAACTCTAAAACAAAAATATTTTAAGAAAAAATATGTTTCAATATTTTAAAATCAACATTCTCTAAACTACAAAAGATAAAATCATTCAAGTGTTGGCGCTGTTCAAAAAATTTAATTATTTAGTAACTCGAAAATTATATTTTTTTAATAAGCATGAAGAACTATTTCAAAGGTTGGACAATCTATTACATTAAATAATTATTAAAAATTACGTCTCTTTTTCATGATAGTTGTCGAAACTTTCTAGTTTCGTTTAAAGATAAAGAAAGTGGCGTCAACTGGATAAGTTTTTTAAAATCGTAAAATAGATAAAGTCAGTGGTCAATAAAAATCTCGAGGTACATCTATGTATAAATATAAATAAAATTAAATTGATAAAAGGTATTGCACCGGAAAAACGGAGTCAATGTTTAAAAATGCATATTATACGTAACAACATATATCTGTTTTCTATTTCCATCATTTATCGACAAGCTTTTGCTCTTACAAGAAGCTCTCTCACCGTTTTGGATATATCTTTCTACAGATTCTGTCTATTGAATCTTATTTCTTGAAAAATTAAGTAAGTTTTTAAACATTGACTCCGTTTTTTATTACTGCAATAATAAAATGCATTGTTTAAAATGCAAATGCAATATATCTTCAATTTATAGCTATTTATGCTTATTAAAAAACATAATTTTCGGGATATTAAATAATTAAATTTGTTAGACAACCAACACTTGAACAATTTTTTCTTTTGGCGAGAATAAATACACATATATGCATATCCTATACATTCTATCTTTATTAATATTATCTTTATTTGCTATTCGTGTATGTAGCATCATAATGTAAATTTATTTATCAACAATGTCAAAAAATAGTTTTTTCTTCACGTCTATAATTTGTGATGTACCATGTCCACTTTCGTCGATACGATTTTATCGGCGTGACGGAGCGTCTCGAAAATGGACGTGGTACGTAGTTTCCGCAGCTCAAAAATGGACGTTGGTGTCGCTAGTGTACGAGGAGTAAGGCATTACAGGAAAAAGGCCAGGGGCTCTATTCTTGGAAAGAAACGTATACGAAAATCTAGGGAAATACTACAGTATACGTTATGTATACTATAGTATTTCCCTAGACTTTCGTATACGTTTCTTTTCAAGAATAGAGCCCCAGGATGGCCGCTCTCAGGGGCTTTATTCTTGAAAAGAAATGTATATGAAAGTCTAGGGAAATGCTACAGTATGCGTTACATATACTATAGTATTTCCCTAGACTTTCGTATACATTTCTTTTCAAGAATAGAGCCCCAGGTTTTTCTCTTGTTTTACTGACTTAAGCCTGTTGCGCCTCTGATAAATCTAGGACTCTAATCTCGCTATACTGTGAATAAAGGAGCGTTGAACAAACAATTCCAAAAATTGACCAATCAAAAAATGCTTCAAATTATTTGGCCAATCAAGTGAGCCACAGCCAGAGTCAGCGTTGCTTCGCTTATAGTTGGACACTGTTGAACTTTGAGCGAAGCTTCGCTAGTTGCGCATTTTCGCACGAATCGATGGAGTGAGGGGTCTTCGCCAGCGATGCGTCGCTGCATGAAATTGTACCTTTAAAGCTGTTGGGGTTTTTGGGGGATTTGATGATACGTTTTAGGGGACAACTTTGAAAATTATTTGGCAACACTGGCTTATATGTGTTAATATCTAACATCTGACATGATCACATGATCACGTCCGAAATTGATCGACATCGAGGAAGTATCTTTCGAATTTAATCGTTTTTACATGCAACCATGTTTTCACAATTATCTATACTCTTTGCTGTCTTTGCCGCAGGTAATTCTTCATTCATTTATGAGAAATCCTGAATGAGTAGAATACATCTAGTTTTTTGTAATCAAATTCCTGTAAATCAATTTATTTTTCAAGATATTTTGTCGAAAAATTTACGAAATTATGTTCGGAATGTTTAAATTTAACTGTATTTTAGAACAAAGATCTTTTCTTGATGTTTTAAATTTGCTGAGCGTTGCTTTACTGAAGGCAGGCCTTTGTACTTGTATCATCCTTACAATTTAATTATCCTAGTGCTTGCTTCTTTAGTTCATGCCAATGGTGAATTCGTTGTTGTTCATTCACCAGACAGTGTAGAATTCACTGTAAATGAACGAGGACATATTGAACAAAGTTATCTTAAGGAGATCTTATCAGCTTGTCTTGGTTACACTGGAAAGCAGGTATATCATCTCTTGATAGTTGTTTAAATTTTTTGATGTATGTGTCATAAAGCTTTATGAATAAATGTATTTAAAATATTCAAACAGGAAAGAAAGTTTATTCGTCGAAATTTGCAATTTCAGATATCTAGTGTACTTGAAATGACACATTTATACATATGTCACTTTTCTTGCAATGTAAAGCCTGTTGTTTTTAGTTGAATTTCTTGCACAGTTCATCTTTTCTCCTTTTCTTTCTGTGTTGGAAGAAAAAATAAGAGAAAAGAAACTATATGTGAGAAGTTTAGGTAAAAAGAACAAACCTATGTTATTTGAAAAGTTATTTACTGTGACAAAAATGTGTTTGTGACCTTACAGAAGGATTCAGAACATAGCATTGTCATATGGGATCCATTTTTAGTGCCCAGGGCATTGGTTGCTATAGTGGTTGAGGGAATGGATCAACTTTCTTTCTTGAAAGACAAAGCTAAAGTTATGTGTCCCTTGACTGATGATGAAGCAGAAGAAATCACTTGGCAAGCGATTAGAAGCAGAGTGGAGGAGCGAAGCAACGATAACACATTGGTCAGGATTAACTTGAGTGATGGAGTTGATGCTGTAAGTATTAAATAGACATATTGATAGTTTTAATAGCATCATATAAAAATGAAATTTGTTTTAATAATTTGACTTTTTATTATTGAAGATCCTAGACACTAAATAAGACATTTCTAATACAGCTCGGCCAGTCAGCTCTCGGTGAGCTTAAGCCTACTAAAATTGAGAAGTTAAACGTTCTGAATTCAGAGATTGAGGAAGATCGTAAATTCATTGAGGAGATACAGCTTCTTCGTGCCATTGGTGACAATGCACTTTCTGCGAAAAAGCATGATTCTGGTACAGATGTTTATTGGCTGGTAGTATCAGCACTCAAACCATGCTTGGAAATGCATGGAAACAGTTCTACAGTTAATGAGGAGGCATTTCACTTGTTGACTTCCGGAATAGAACATGTTTCCAAGGGCCTTTTAAACCATTATGATGGAAAGGTGCATAAATTTATCTGCAACTTTCATCAATGATTAAAAATCAACATTTTTTAGCATATTTGCATGCAGTTTATATATACAAAGAATATAATTACATATTCAGAATGAAATAACCTAAATATTCTTGACTCAAGAAATTTTTAAAAAAGTAAAAATTACCAAAGGAGAAAGGCTATGAGCCAAAGCTAGTTATTAATTGCTAATAATTAATCTATCTTTAATATCCAATCGATATAAACATTTAATATACAGACGTTTTAATCTTCATCAGGTTATTTTCAGTGTAAAACATAAAAATGAAATAATTGAAAATAAAAGTAATAATAGAGTCGCAATATCGGTTACATATAATCTCATTAAATATTTAAAATAAAGAATATATAATATGAAAGGGCTGTGAACCAAGTTGGATGTTTTATGCTAATAAACAAGAAATCTATATTGATATGATACAAAATAGATAGTGTTCAACAAACGTTTCGACCTCAATCGGATCATTCTCAATGTTAGATAAAAATAAAATAGATAGTGTTTAACAAACGTTTCGACCTCAATCGGATCATTCTCAATGTTAGATAAATTTTAAATTAAAAAAAGTTAGGAATATAACGCATTTTTTACGCCCGCCTATATTAAAACTCGATAAAAAATCGGTTTAGAAAATAATACGAATACGAAAACGTCCTGTATTTCTAACTGATATTGTGTAATCTTTGATCACGACAGTCTTCAACATTTTTACAGTATGTTGAAAACTGTCGTAATCAAAGATTAGATTATATCGGTTAGAAATAGGGCTATTCTGTAACTCTTAACGCAAGTTTCGTTATCATTGTAACGTTGTTGTGCAGCTTTTTTACCATGATAAAAAAGCTGCGCAACGATGTTATAACTATAACAAAGCTTGCGTTAAGAGTTACAGAATAGAGGCCTAGGACATTGTATTCGTATTATCCCTTGATTGGCTTTCCGACCTCTCTAGTGGAGGTCGGAAAGCCAATCATAGTGTTAGAATGTTTTACATATCAAGCCTAGAGCCTCTTCGGAAAGCAAAGCTCGTTTGTTTTCACTTTTCCAATAATAGTAGATTTATTCACTCAAAATCAGTTAAGGGACCTACAGTTTAATGCCAAATCAGAATAGCGCTGATGACTTCTCTTAATCCAGATGGAGCCATTTTCGGTTCCTAAAACGTAAAAAAAAGCGTATATGAACGCAGGTGAGATCGAACCCGGATCTGCAGATCGTAAGTCAACCGCACTGAGCGACAAGCCACTCGATGCTTCCATATATAGCCATTAGTATATTAAATGTTTATATCAATTGAATGTTAAAGATAGATTAATTATTAGCAATTAACAACTAGCTTTGACTCGTAGCCTTTTGTTTTTTAGATATTCAGAATGCTTTCGAATATCTGTTACAGATTGTCATTGTAATTTTCACGAACGATGCTTGGAAGGAGAGGAATGCACGGTCCGTTCTTGAGAGAAAGCGCAGAGACGAGCCTCCGGTAAGTTATTCAATAGTATCTTATGTAAATTTTGCAATTTAATAGTTTTAAACAAAATTGTTTGAAATTTTTTGAAAACATTGAAGAAAAATACATATTTGAAAAAATATATGTATAATTAAAGAATATAATTATATTGATATTAGAACTGGTGATAGTTATACGATATGATATAATTAAACATTCCCATTTAAGACAAACTCAATTGTCTCAATGTTTATGGGTATAGTTCTTTGAAGAAATCTTTGTTATATTTTGTTATTGAGATGATTACAGTATGTGTATTGTGTCAAATGTAAAAACATGTGATTATTGAAATTCAGTTTATTTATTTTTTATCAAATTATTTGCAAGAAAAATAATTCTGTATTAAAATAAAAAAAAAGGTTACAAGACTCCTGATATTAAAAATAATATTTACAATAAATTTAGCAAATGAGAGTACTGCACGTAGTACTTTGCGCGTAAAGTTTCAATATATTTTATGATTGCAAGTAAAAAACAAATTTTTCAGCCACCTTGAACAAAACGAAAAAATACATACAAAAATAAAATTAAAATTTTATATTATTCATTTCTATCATTTTCCGATAATACATAATATATAGGATGTCTTAGACCTACCGCATCACCTGTTAAGCAAATTCCTGAAATCATTTTGAGACAAAAATGATACCAAAATGTTAAGGCTAGTTTAAAGGAGGAAGTATTTAAAGATAGAAGATTCAAATATTACATAGTAATATATCATGAGATGGACTCGACGATAAACATAGAAGCAGTTCGACTTGTATTAGGGTGCGTTCCGAATTACACATGAAGTGTGTAAGGTATCATTTCATTCTTCTTTATTCTTTAGTATTTGAAATGAATATTTTCATTTCAAAATGATTTGAAGAATCTGCCATTAATAGGTGATACAGTAGGTCTGGAACACTCTTGTATTTGGTACAATATAATATATTTGATACAAAGTAATATATAATGTTATATGTATATAATGTATAATATTATATGATATAACTAATTTTGCAACCGATTTACTAGTAAGTATACCTATATCATGATTTTTATCTAAACGCTAATTAATCAAAAATTATTCTCTATTCCGGAAGATAATAGAAAAGACAATAACTTTACTCCAATTATTCAGAACTATTAATCGTCGTGTGTTAGTTTGCTTAAAATTATTTATTTTTCGTTTGTACTATTTTTAATTGTTACGGGATATTTTGTAGGCTCATAAGACTAAAAATGTTAAATCCACTGCCAAAGGAGCGCCAATTAATTCAGACATTAACGATAATTTTTTCATCAAGGTATCGTGTCGAATCGAATTGCATGAGCTATTATTTGATTGAGAGTGTTTTTTTCCAAATTAGAGATAGCTTTTTGCATGGATATCGCGAACACGACGAATTACTCTTTAATTATTCTAATCAACAAACTTACAAACTTGTCTATCCAAATATCTATCGTCTTCTTTTTTTTATATTTTCTTCGAGTAAACTTTAACAAATCGTCAAAACTTGGTATCGACAAATAAATACTCGCTAAATCTTTAACATTCTGATATCTTTGAACGATACAATTTGAAGCTCGGTGAATTTTTACCAGTAAATTTCCATCGATGAATTTAGATAATCGCTAATATGATCTTTGATTTCTTTTAACATAATTGTTAGTATCTTTGAGCTTAATTAAATTCCAAAATTCGGTATGAGCTGAATATATATTTATCACAGACAAATCCTTGAAATGATTCAAGATCCGCACAAATACATAGAATTTGAAACTCAATCGATAAATCAATGTACTTGGAAAACTTAAGTCCTTCAAGTTCTAGTATCTTTGAAGTTTTGAGGACTGGGCTTGCATTAATCACTTTATTCAGATACTGAACAATACTGATTATAGCGAGCCGGCGAGCAAGATGAACAAAATAATAAAATGGACGAAGAGGAGTATAGAATGCGTAGTACTATCGAATCCAACACAGCACTCGACAGCACTACTGAACGTACGGGCGTTCAGGATAATAGCGGAACGTCGGAAAAGTCCGACGAAGTTAATACGGAGTATAAGATAAATACTAATACACAGACAATAGGACAGGTATCGCAAACATATTAACATGCATCGCAATCGATGGGTCTAGGGAAACACTAGATAAGTCCTTTTTTCCTCAATTTTTGCGTTCTATGCCATTGTATGATTACACAAGAAGTGAACAATGTTTACTAATTTTTTAAGATTGATAATATAATATTGTCAAAAGAGGAAATAAATTTTATATGAAAAAATTGTGTAAGAAAAGTAAAAAAAAAATAAAAAATCGGAATGAAACTCAATGAATACGATTTAAAACGCATCTTTCGATCAGATATGCTGAAGTGCTCAAGTAAACTTATCATTTTAAGAAAGCTGTATTAAGTAATAAAATTTCAAAATTTCAGTCGCATAGAAAAATTCAACAAAATGTGACTTGTCAAGTCCTTTTCCTAGGTCCTTCAGTTATTTTCGTTCTGCCAGACTTTATCAGAATATTAGCGCACCTGAGTTCTAAGGAGATGAATAATTAATTTAATGTTTATCAAGTACTCCAGTAGAGCTAAACAATATTAACAAGATGTCTTCAACACTTATCTAATTCAATTTTAATCGCTAGTAAGATTATATAACACTGCTTTCTTTTGCATTGGATTGCTATAGATGTCAGTTAATGTGAATGATGTTTAATCGTAATGACATCGGAGAAGGAAATCAATCTTGTCGTACTCTAGGAATGGCAACGGTCGAATAAATACAAATGGACCTAAAGATAATCAAAAGAGTTTTCAGAACTGCAGCACAGATTATTTCAAGTACTCGTGCAGAAGAATCTGCGCTGCAATTCTGAGAACTCGCGTATGGTTATTATCAGTATCAATAAGTTTTTTCTGTTATGATTATCTTTAGATCCGTTCACATTTATTCGACTATTGTCATTCCTATAATGACAGGATTATGATTTCCTTTCCGATTTGTTTTTAACTAAGCGGCAAATTTTAGATAGCAAGTTTTGTACTTGAGAAGTGAAAGGAATTAAGTCCAAGAAGTTACTTCTTCAATTACCATAAATATGATTGCACGTAAATACTGATAATTTCGGGCTTGTTGTCCCATGCTTCTTAAGTGCAGAATTATAATCTGCATGAAGGCTTATCATGTCTAATTGCATGCATATATTCTAATCATGATGAATATATAAGTAATATAAACTTTTGATAGCAAATTTTTGTTAGGAAAGATTTAACCAGCCAATTAGTTATTTAGCAAGTATTGAAAGCAGATCTTATTGATAAGTTACGAACTCTTAACTTATTTTGTATATTAATTCTGAAAACCTTGGTATTTTTTGTGCATTTGTAATACGCTGAATTTTTTAATCTTATTTGTAGATGTTAAGAAATGTAGAGTGCTATTAGTTTAAATTTAACAAGTATCACAAAAAGAGAGAGAAAGAAGAGAGAGTGTGTGTATGAGAGAGAGAGAGAGAGAGAGAGACACTCGCAAAATTGAGATTTCGTAGGTTTTCGAAAATTGTGTCTATCTCTCTGTTACAACGATCTTTCTGTTTCAGCCTGAATTTTCTGGACGTGCAAAGACTTACACGGAAGACTATCCTGTCATATTCAATATAATGCTATGGTTCGGCGTTGTTTTCGTCTTTTCACTCTTAGCCATTTGTAGTACGTATTTTCATAATACAGGATTTATTTAGCTTGAAATTATTTTGGACGTGTGATAAAATTTTCAAAAGTATTCTGATCATTATTTAAAATCAGAAATTTTAAATTTCAGCGATTCGAGTGGCCTCTATTAATCTGGTTGATTTTATTTGCAGGATATTAATTTGTATAATTTATATTATGTATATATTTATATATGTGTGTGTGTATATATACAGGGTGTTCCACTTAACTCGAGCATCTGAAATTTCTCACTTGGTTTTTATGATAGGAAAAAATGTTTCAGATGAAAGTGGAATGGTTTCAAGAAGGATGTATGTTTGTCATGTCTTCTAAGTGGAGGCGCCAAAAATATATAAAGGTCACCTCCATTTTAAAAAATGGAATTTTATAATTTTTTTACACAATGTGATTCCTCTAATTATTCTGCATATAAAAGTATTAAGGTAAAGATATAAAAAAACCAATAGTTTACGAGATATCTTAAACTTTATTCTGCCATATATTGACATGAAATGTTAAATGATTCGTAAACTATTAATTTTGTAATAATCGTACTTTAATACTTTTATGAACAGAACAATGAGATGAATCAATTGATGGAAAGAAAACAATTGCTTTAAAAAATATATGCGAAATGGATAATTTTTTAAATAAGCAATTATTTTGCGATTTTCTCCAAAACGAAGTAAAATTAAGTATATCTCTAAAAGACTTTTTCTTAGTTTATTGATTCCTTAAACGCTTTCGAAATTCGACCATTTAAATTCAGGACAACCTGTATATAGGTATATCTATACATATATATATATAGTTTTATTAGATATTTATACATGCATATAGTTTATATATAATTTATATTTATCTACAACATAATTATACTGTTTTGGAAAGGGATCTCGACTACAAAAATTTATAATAAAAAATGAGGGTTCCCATTTAAAAAACTCAAGATGATATCGATATATTTCCAAGATTATTCAAGATCAAATCAATATATATGTATATATACATATGATAAGTAACTTGATCTTACAAATTTTACTTCAAAAATTTTTCTGGAAACGTCATCTTTTTGAGATAATCTAGTGTTCCAACCTTTTTGTTACATCCTGTATACCAAAGTTGGAAAGTAATGCGTTACTTTTTTCCGGCAACCATCGTTACTATTTTGTTTATAACGGTTGTTTTGTTTGTAACGGTTACTTTGTTTGTAACAGTAACTTCGTTACATTTTTACAATGGTAATGATTTAATCGTTACTTTTATCGTTATTTTAGTTTTTATTGGATAAATCGAATTAGATATTTCGATATTGTTGGTGGGATTCATTACTTTTTCAAGAATGATAATTACTTTTTAAAATCTACGTGCTACTTTTTAAAACAGTAACTAGTGACGGTAATGAGTTATTTTTAACGAAAACTAATTGTAACGGTAACGCGTTATTTTTTAAATTAACATTCCAATTTCTTTTGAATAACTAAATGTTAAAACAAAGATTTGTAAGTTGTTAATCAGTTCTCTGGATAATTATGTTTAATCATTCAACAAGAAAGCTTGAACACGATGATAAGATCTTAATATCTTAATATTTTCAGTCGCCATCGCCGATATGGATCCAGGACGAGATTCTATCATTTATAGGATGACGTCGAATCGAATGAAGAAAGATAATTAAGTGTAAATACATAATTACATATATATATAATATATAAGTAACACAATTTTGTAATATATATTTCTGTGCAAAATGTAGATTGTCGAAGCATCTATATATGTATTATCAATTTAATTCGTGTGTGTTCAAGAGTAGGAAAGTAGATTTCTATTACTTTATCCTAAGGATTCCTTAAATTTGATGATCCAAGCTCTCGTCAGAGCTATTTAAATAGCAAGGATATACATAACTGTATCACTTTATAGCATAAGCAATTATTGTTATATCGTTATAAAATATCTGGAAGTTTGTATATCTCTTAAAAACTAAAAGTTGTCCTAAATATAACGTAATCATACAAATTAAAACATTTTATGCATTTTTAATCATTATCAGAAAGAATCCTGCACAAATGTTATGGAAAATTGATCTTGGTCAAATTGTTTCGAATTTTAATATTTTGTAACTCATTTCAAACTGATTAAAAATCCTTAATGGAATAAATCTTCAAATGCCTTAGTTTTTGTTCCAGGACCTTCGGAAAATCATTATATTTTATATGAAAAATAACAGTCGAAATAAATCTTTTTTACTACACTTGCGCATGTATCAATAGTACGCTTACAATTTTAGTTTTTCTCCCGTTCTTAGAATTGGACACTCGAAATGAACGATATGATCATGATGGTCGTTTCATTCCTTTGAAGTGCTTGATTTACATCCCCGTGCCTCACAGTGTTTGGTATTTAGTACCGTAACAATATTTTTTCAAAATATTAAAAAATGTGATACTTTTTTCGTGATATATTCAACACATTTTTCCGTGACATATGTATACAGCAGGGTTGGCAAACGTTACTTTTTAGTTACTTTGCCGTTACTTTTTATAGTAAACCATTTGATGACGAATTTTTTATGACGGTTACGCTAAATAATTAAACGCTAAGGGTGTGCTAAGATTAAAAAAGTCACTTTGAAAGGTAATTTATCATCATTACGTGTTACTTACCGGAAAAAGTAATAAGTAACGAGTAACGTTATTTTTTAGAATAGTAACGCGAGTAAAAAGTAACGTATTACATAAATTAATGGAAAAAGAAGTTATTTTTTTTAATAATGAATGAATTTTTCAACTCGTTACAAGTAACAATTGACTTTTCTAACTCTGATGTTACCATTACCGTCATAAAAAAATCACAATGTCATTACCAAACCGTTATAACAAGTTAACGATCAACAAAGTAACGGCGTTATAAATAACGCATTGCTTGCCAACCCTAGTGTACAGTATACATTCATAAAGGAACACGGTAGTGTCGTTGCGCTTGGCTTAGCCAAGCCGAGACATTACCGTGATGAATGTAGAAATAGCAAGTAACGCGTTACTTGTAACGTCGATACTTTTGTTGCCGTTACTTTGTAATAACGATTGGTAATGATGTTACTTTTTATAACGTTAACAGTAACATCAAGGTTGGAATATTAATGCGTTACTTGTACCTCGTTAATACCTTGTAACGAGTAAAAATAATGCGTTATCTTGTTACAAGATAATAGTTACAAGATAATAGCAAGTCAATAATCTGACAAACTTTGTCAGAATAATGATTAATTAATTGTAACACAGATCTTTTAAGATAAGTCATTTTCTATGACAGGGATATCACGATTAATAATGCAAAAGATTTGTCATACAACAAAATAGATGATAAGAAAAAAAAATTTAAGAAAATGTATTCTCTCTCTCTCTCTCTCTCTCTCTCTCTTAAATTTATTCTCTTATATATATATATATATATATATATATATATATATATTCTCTTTATTTTCTTAAAAATCGTTATAAATAATATATACAATGCTTGTGGTGCAAATCATTTTACATAACAAATTAATATTACATCAGCAATCTACAGTAAAAAAAAAAGATTTTTCTGCCACATCCTGTTTGAGTTATAAACACTTTGACAATCAACCCTGTACGACAACCAGCCCCGATCTCCCCTACTATATTAACTTCCATAATCACGAAACCTAAAATCACAAATGAAAAATCTTATAATGCTGCACTTTATAATCTATCCTCTCCGATTCTTACTTAGGAGAAATTAAACTCTGTCGCTTCTATCTGTCAATGATGCCGTATATTGCTCGGGGCCATATAAGACATTGTAATATTTGAACGATATTACGATAATATTACAGAGCGATATATAATAATATTTATACGATATAGCAATATTGCAGTGTGATATACCACATAGTAATATTTGTATGATACGGCAGTAATGCATTGTATTATTATATATCACATTGTAATATCTCAGTAAAATACTACAGTGTTATATTGTAATATTTCGCAATGTATTAATATCTCAGTAATATTTTTGTAATATTGCACTTCAAGTTATAATATTACTGCATTATTACATGTTGTATAGGTATATATACAACCATATTGAAAATGTATGCACTAGTCAGAATACATCCAATGTATAATATAATATGTACCTATTCAGCATGCGCCGAACGTACTTCCAAACACTAGTAAAAAGAGAAGTACAGTCACGATTTTGATATATTAGATTTTAGTAGAAAATTATTAGAAGAAATGTTAGGAAATAACTAGGATGCAATCGAAAATGTGCATAATTGCATCTTCCCCTTTAAATTAAACATTAAGAGATAATTTCCTGAATCACAATCGACCAGAATACCTCCTTGACGCATGTTTCGTACTTCCGTCATTGCTCTATACATAAAAGTACCAATAATATTTAAATTTAGTGTTTTTTATGTAAGTGTTACGATTATGTAACTTATATTATAAATGTATCTTTGATTTTCTATTTCCTAAGTATATTTCACCTTGTAATACTTGTTTGTAATGCACGTTTGTTATTATTAGCCGTATCGCTATTACACTTCCTGTATATGTGTGTACATGCGTGAATATGCATACACCTGTAAATACGATAATATTTATACATAATAGTTATTTATAATAATAATTTATAAATAACTATCAGATTAACACACGTGCATTTTAATTGAAACTTCTAATGACAGAATAAAAAATCCCATAAGAATCTATTTTTAAGAATAAAAGTATATATATTCGTAAAATATAACTGACTGATATATTCGAAAATTATTTCTATAAAATTCTGTTATTAGATTAAAATCAATTTTTCCAAAACAATATATTGTTGTATGTACCTACTTTAATTTTTAAGAATAGATTTTCAAACTAATTTCGCATAATAACTTCTCTTTCAACTTTCAATTAGTGAATGAGTGAATAAAATAAACATTTAATTCTCACACTTAGTTTATTTCAATATCTCCATAAATAAAATTTAAAAAAATATAATTAATTAGGTGGACCTTATTTGGCTCAGGTACCTTATAAATTAAAAAAAAGTACTTACATAACTTATTTTAAAAATTTATAAATTATTTAGTTAAATTTTTTATTTATTTGAATTAATTAATTATCTCGTTCTTTTCCTTAATGAACTCATAATTTTGTTGTGGCTTTATTTTATTGCTGTTAATTTTATTCCTTTGTTACGTAAGATATCATCGGTTATAACTTCATCTTGTCAAACATTTAAATCTCAAAGTGCGCAATAAAAGCAGATATAATTAGTGTGGTATTGCTTTTTATATTGGTAACAATAATGTTTATCAGCTCTTGATTAACGATCGACAATCATTTTCTCGTATTATTGATAATTCCCACTGGCGATACAATCTCGAAGCTCTACCAGTCCATGTCAATCGATATTACATATTTCTTGTTTATGCATGTGTGTGTAATCCTGAAAAGCAACTTTCCTTAAGAAATAAGATAAACATAATTCTTAATACGTACGTTTTTCTGTATTGAATATCTGTACAAAGATCGAAATTCTTTCAAGGATCTGTATGTGATACGTATGATATACATCGATTGTGTTGTTATTTTATATATGATGCTTTTTGACGAATCAAATTCAAATAAATATTTAACACAAAAAGTGGTGACCATATTTGATTAAAGCGAGTCTTAAAAATATTTTTATATAAATTTTTACAATTTTCAATTCGAATAAAATGAATTTTATAAAAATTCACACAACAGTATTATTAGGTATTAAAACTAAATAAATATAGCTTCTTTTTCGGTTATTTATGTTGAACATTTCTCAGTCTTCACGCTTAATATTATTCAAATAAATATGTTTTATATATTTAGTGCAAAATACATTCGTATAAAAATCCGAGCTATATCAAAAATTTATAACATAAAGATATTGCTTGCAACAGTTGCGACCATTACTGCTAAAATACATAATAGTGCAGATTAAAATAATTTTAAAATACATGTAATAACGCACATGTCAAATTACTACTATTATTATTATATATACCATTTTTTTAATCCTTAAGTACTAAGGTAAAAAATAGTGACACTTTTACTGAGGTTGATGCCTGGGATTAAAAAAAACTGGAATGAAAACACAAATCTATGTTTTATTAATCAAACCGTTATCAAGTCTTTATGAAAATACTGAAAATGAGACAGAGATATAGTGTTTTGTTTCTTTTCGCATGGTCTCACGGATCAACCTTAGTACTTGAGGTAACCATTGAATGTATAATACAAGTTTTTGTCTATGTATAAGATTTAAATTCTAAAGAAAATCAGAAGTAAGAGATCAACAAGAGAAATGAGAACGTAATGTGGGCTAAATAATAATAGTGATGATAATGCGATTAAATTTATCTCAGTCATTTTAAACAAGCTATAATTCGCGATAGAATTCTTATAAGCCTATCAATTATTATAATCCTATATATGTGGTTGCAAGATGAAAACATTTAAAGGGAATACAAACATATATAAATCGTGTAGCAGAATAGGCATACATTTATAATATACGTGCGTGTTATATATGTGTTCTGATACACGTCGTGTTTAATTTAAATATATACTGTTACTTTTGTAAATAATAGAGTCATAAACATTTTTTGTAATAGAAATTATTTATTTTGTTTATTTAAAATTTAGAGATTATAAACTAAAGAGATGAATGTGTGCATGGCATAAATGTGTCTCGATTTTTAAATTTAGATTTATCCCAATCTTTTCAATCTCTTTTCTTACTTTCTTTCAACGTTCTCTGGACTTTGTTCTCCTCTGTCTCTAATACAGAAAAGAATATCTCTATTCAAGTCATATCAAGGATCCGTGACATATAGATGCTGCATGCAGCAATAACAACTGAGGTCGACTCCTCTCGGTGAAGGTTTTCACCCCACTTTCGACCAAATACAGTCCCCACCTAGGCTCTCATTGCGCACCTATCCCACCTCAGGTTCTCCAACAACACCTGCCGTGTTACGACGGCGAACGACTGGCTTTTCGCCAGTCTGATGTATTTGCGATTGTCGCAGGTTCTCCCGAGATTCTTGTCGCGTGCAGTGAGTTCTGTCGGCTTTCCGCCAGTCGATTGTCGTTCTCTTTTCCAGTGTAGTGATTTATTTCTCGTTATGTACCGACCACGCGACTGAGGTTGTCGTCCGAGCGCGTTGTTCCCGCGTCTTGTTTTCGTTTGTCGTCGCATGCGAAAAGCTGTGTCAATTGCGAAATCGCAATAGGATTTTCAAATCGGGGGATATATCTCAGAGTGATAGCGAGGCAAGATAATGGTTCGTTATGTCGAAGAATCCGAGGATAATTTAAACATTTGCAATGTACGAAATATTGATATTGAAATCTTAAATTTTCAAAAGTTTTACGAGATTCCAAATCGATTGATTTGCGCGCTAATATAAAGATTCGATTTTGTCAGATGTGATAAATTAAAAGATAACTGTGATTGTCGCGCGATCTATTTTGATGAATTTAATGCATTGTGAAATTTCTTTTGTCGTATCTTATTTACTCATTAACGATAAATTAAATATTAAATTTATGTAGTATTCAACAAACTATAAATTTATATTTTAGATTAAATAGTTTCATTTACTTGCGTAACATTTTATATGCCGTGGAGAATGTAAATGTCTTGAAGAATTTTAATTTGTTAAAACTCCTTGCTTTTAAACATCTTAATAACTTTATTATAAAATTATAGTTATTAAGATTTTTATCAACTGGAATATTACAAGCAATTCTGTGGGTTGTATAGTAATATATATATATAGCATTTCAAAAATACTTACCATATCGAAGATCTAAAAAAAATATCGTCTCCGGACAATCGATCGATCGTTTGATTTCTGAAAGTTGCATTTAAAATTCTGAGACCGAAACCAGTGTAGCTTCGGTGAATTCAATCCATTATAATAAATATATCCGCTGTAAATATACGAACGATCCTCGCGTCAATCATCGCGATTTCGCGATAAATAAATTCAGAGATCATTTTTGCATATCTATAGAAGTAAAATCTGAATTCATTGAGATTCTATATTACTTTATTTGAATTTCGTTTTTAATTTGATCCATTTTTTCATATATTTACTTTTCCTGAACTTTCTTTGTTTAGCTATTTAAGAAAAATAAATTGATAATATATTTTATGCATGAAAAAAGAAATTTCACATTCATTGACATTAATGCGCGATTAAAGGATGAGAGTAGAAAAGTTTTAAAAAATTGTTGAATGAAATACAATGAATAATTATAATTAGGAAAGATCGATGATAAAGTAGTGATTCAAATGAAAATTTCAATTTAACTATATTAAAAATTATGCATTAATTATTGTGATTCATAACTACATCTTAATGTCTTCAGAAAAATACTGTAACGATCGAAATTGTCGTAATGAAAAATATCCATTCACGATAGATATAAACAAGCTGTGTGTTGTGTATGTGTTTTCTTCTATACATAAATGTATCGTAAATGTAGAAATAAACGATAATCTATTAACGGAACGATTTGTTATATTTGATGATCAGAGTGTAAAGAATATTAATCATTTCACCGATTATTCGCTGATGATTCAACGCGAAAGAAGATGGCTGATCTACAATGTGAAGAAAATATTCTAAATGATAAATATAGAAACATTGAAATAGAATATCAGTAAGACAATATTTTTCGACTTGCTTCTGAGACATAAAAGCGATTAACCATCGAGAAAACTTTGTAAGAGTTATTCCAACATATCGAGAATAAACCCCTTAAAATAGATCGTATATAAAAAAGTTTATCCGAAAGATAAATTTGTAGAAAGATCTGCCGAAAGAAGGGATACTTTCAGCTGGAATATTTATAACAGAAAATATATATCGGAAAAAAATTCTTTACAAGATTACATTCTCTCTCTCTCGCTAAAAAAAATATTCTATTAATATTTTCATAAATGTGTATCTGATTCTCAAAAACACGCTTAGAAGGAAATGCTAGTAAATGAAAAACGTTAATGAAGAGATTATTTGTGAAATTGATATTGTTTGTGAAAAGATATCACGACTACGATATCGAGGAAATCTTCTGTAAACATTGTAGGATTTTTCCAAAACCTTCAAAGTTTCCACTACTGAATTCGGTAGATATTCCTTCTTCATAGCTGAAGAATGACACTCAAGGTAGCGTTCATGCAAACGCCGTGGGGCGTCGCGACGCTGGACCGGCAAATTAAGCGTCGCAACTTCGGCTTTACGTAATGTCAATCTGCCGTTGCTGCTACCAACACCGTCGGGTGAGACTCGCCAAGGTCGCCGGCCGGAAAACGCACTGCATACCCGTAACGAGATGCCGCCGCTGCTGCAGCCAAAGTCGATGTCGATTCTACTAATCAAGTGAGAAGCAAAACGTTCCACTAGTCAAGTTGAACGAGCGGAAGTCTTTGAAGGGAACAAAGCAGGTGAAACGACCGAAGTAATCTAGAAAATCGATCAATTTACTAGGATAGGTTTAACGGATCGAGGAAAAGATGCAGACGTGAGAAAAAAAGAAAGAGGAAAATTTAAAAGATTAAGAAAAATGTGGAAAATCGAGCAAGAAATTGAAAGATTAAGACGGACGATTTTAAAAATTGAGCAAGAAAAGTGAAAAAAATTGAAAAAATTGATAATCTGTGTATTAAAAAAAATAAAGATTGTATAGTATTCATTATACATAGTAAAATTAAAAAAAGTAATAGCAAAAAATTTCGAAAATAGCTAGAGCGAAAAAATGAATATTCGGTGAAAAAGTGATAAGCTGGTTAGTTTCAATGAATCGACATGTGTTAAACATCTTGGAAAACGATACAAGCAGTCAGTCGTAGAAGAAAGGGCTAGAAAGCTCAAAGGAAAGTGCCAAGAAAAGTAAAATAAACTTAAGACAGTCGTCTTGGGAAGTTTGGAGGGGGAGGACTAAAACTCAAGAAAACATTCACGGAAGCCTGAGAAAGAGTCGACAAAGTCGAGAAAGATAACCGTTCTTGAAGAAAATACCCATTGCTTCAAGGCGATACTCGAGTCTTACTCGTGGAGGACGTTATAAGTGTCTTTTCCTGTCGAGATATCATCAGCCACGTTTCATCGTCTTCCTGGATCAGCGATCGCGTCTGGACGGCCTTCGCAGAAGCACACTTCGGAAATTCACGTTTACTAAAGTTTCGGACAGTCGCGCGCGCGTGACTTTCGTTCTCATTTATTGTGTTGTGTTAATGAAAGTGTCTAGCCTGTGTTCTCGCAGACTCGTCGCGACTCTTAGTCCGAGCGGACGCGCATTACCGATTCTCACACATCGCTCCTCTCGTCAAAGTAGACATTTTTGGATTCTTACATCGTCTCAGGTTGGTTATTGTTCGTATCGAGCGACTCTGGACTTGCGGACGAATTTGATTCCAACTTATGGGTTGTCCATAATAAAACATGATGTAAGAATACAAGAATATAAGAGTACATGGTTTCATTACACGTAATAGTGCATAAATTACGCAAAAATTTGAGATTAATACCTGATGGACAAATTTCTAATAGCAGCTTTATATTAGCCCATAACATTTGGAGTAAATTTCTCATTGGTCCAATTACGCATTCAATAAAACACTTGGTATTCTTACATCATTCGATAGAGTAGTAAGCCATAAGAAATTGACCAATTACAGTAAAATGTGAGGAGACTCGACTATGATTGGCCCATTTTTTACTGCTTAGGGCTGTATTTATTACTTATTTTAGGTTGGAACTTTATTCGTATCAGACAAATCGACAGTTACAATTAAAAATTGTCTATCACGATGAACTCGTTGTATAGGGATTGGCTGAAACAAAACCGGGTATTTATTAATCATAATCGTCAATTCATAATCTCTGATACGGGCTTTATGATATTCCATAGTAGAAGATCTAAATGAAACAAAAGTATAGAATAAAACTTTCGTTTAAAATTTTATTTCTAAAAAAATCCACTTTGAGACTTGTAAAGGTAGAAATATTTTGATATTTTAAATGCATATTATAATATACTGTGGAACGTAAAAAAAATGCAAAAAGGATGAGTCATTTTTACTTGTTCAATTTTACTTGTTCAAAGTCCATTACATATACTATTGCGTATGTAGTATCTACATGTACTTCTACACATCCACATGTAATTTCTTCTAAATTAGATTAATTATATTACTGAACTTTAAAATAATTTTTTTTTATCTAAAAGTAAAAAATGTATGAAAACAATTAATTTTATATTTTCAATTTATTTTTAGGTGTGACAATTGTACCTTCAATTATATAACCTTATATTATATAGTTTATTTATGTAAACAAATTTGTTTACATTATGAACAGTTATAGGATTTGTTGGAATTATTGAGAAAGAAATTAAGATAACAGAATTAAATACGAAATAAAGTAAAAAATTTGCCGCTCTTTATTACATGCGTTTCGAATATTTTTAAGGCCGCGTTCAGATACTTTACTCGAGTATTGTTTACTGAATGTTAAACGAGGATAAAATAGTACCTGGGCGCACTCGCGTGAAGTTTCTGAATGCAGCCTACGTAAACTTTTAAAACTATTAAAACCCGGCAATTTATTTGTGTTAACAAATAGATTGATATATTGAATCGTTATGACAAATAATTATAACATATTATTAATGCGCTGAGGAAGATCAGTGTGATTTTTATGCGATTAATATATGACATTATTGTCTGCTAATTAGATCCGAAGACGCCGAATGTCTGATACTGCGACCCTCGGCAGGACTCGAAACTTTTGAACGTAGATAGGACAATGAGTGTCAGAATTGTTGTGAGCGTCACTGAGCTCACGAATATGGACGCCAAAGATCGCTATGTCGTCGAGGGCATCGGTGAGTTTTTTCATTTGCCATTGAATAAATGCTATCATTTCGCACTGAAATTTATAAAGAAGATTAAAAGTGAAACGGTATCGAACTGCGTCTCGAAGAAGCCGTATCGAAGTCTATTTAAAGCAATAAATTTTAGTTTTTGTTAACATTTCCGAGTCTCTTAGTCACGATATCCATGTTCTTTTTTCTATTTTTACCTGCTATCTAGATATTTTATCATGCAAATGAAGTATTGTTTGATTAAACTGGATAACCGTTATTCAGACTATGTTTTTTAGTAAAAAATACACCGTACAATGGTTTAAAATCTGAAAAAACATTAATTGAAATTTAATTTAATTTTAATTTTTAAAGACCAGAATTTTTGCGCGCATTTCTACAGATTATAAACACATTATAAAGTAAGACACATCACGTGACACTTTTTTTTATATCCAAAATTTTATTTGTGATGTAAAGTCACGAAATTTATACCGCATAAAGAATAAATTTATAAATATTTACCAAGGAAACCGTATTTATATTTTTTATGGTACTATATCTAGATCAGAATATTGTTCAATTAAAATTTATGTTTCATGGATTAAAAACTATGTTATATTACATTAATGTTGGCAAATGCAATATTACATTTATAAAAACTATGTTATATTACATTAATGTTGGCAAATGCAATATTACATTTATAAAAAAATGTACACACACATTAAATTATCTCAACTTTAAGCAAATATTTCTAAATTATCAATGAACATCAAAATAATCGCGAAATAATTATTAAATACGTTATAGATATTTGGGATATCAATAACTTGAAGATTAAAATAAAAATTTGAAAATGTGTTTGTTTGGCCAACTTGTCCAGATCTTTCGGAACACTGCACATTGATTTGCACGTTCTATCTCATGAATTCCTTGCTCATCGAGATTTATTCGGGTAGCAGACGATTGTTACGTAAATGACATTATGTGACGCAAAAAGCAACGCAACAAAAATAGTGAATAAGGATAAGTTGACTTTATATATAACGACCGTTCTTATTTGATATCATTCTAATGACTCTCAGGTAGATAGCGCGACCCATGCAATTTTCTTTTGCTCGCGATAGCGAGAATCGATTATGAATTGAAAAAATATTATATTTATTCAAATAGGTATATATATTTTTTGTATGCACATATATTTATCTATTATATCTCTTTTGGGAAAATCTATTTTAAATGAAGTTAAGGTTTTTAAAGGTAATTAAGAGTTTACTTAAAAATTTTTGGAGTAATTTAAAGTATACAAAAGATTAATTTAAAATAACCTAAGAACTTTAAAGTATTTCAAGGCTAATTTTAAAATAATCTTAGAAAAACTGAAGGTTTTATTATTTCCATTGCATTTGGAATTTTTTAAGCGTTTCTAAATTTTAAAGTAAGACTAAATTGACGTAAAATTCACCCACAAACAGTACGCGACTTTGTCACAGATGGACGCGACGGTGTTGCATTTCTCGTAAGTAATCATACAGGATAAAATAAAAGCGTTATGAGATTTTTTATTCGTGTTCTTATGAAATAATTTTTTGGTGAAAAACTTCCTGATAATAAAGCAGGCTTACTTTGAAATTTGAACAAATTCATGATTTCACAATTATTATTTTAAAGGAAAATTTTAAAATTGTTGAGACGTATTTCTCACAATTTTTAAGTTAAGGTTTAAGTTGTTAATATATTGTCTTAATACGCAAATTAACATTTTATCTGGGATGCGTTCGGGGAGATGTTACTAACACTATTTGTATCATTTAATTTATTCTTGTTTTACATCGAATGAATGATAAAGATAGAGTGACACAAATAGCGCTAATAGCGTCTCCTCGAGCATATCTCTAATCCCAATCTCAAATTGTGTAACTGCTTCCTTCCACTGTCAATTTTTGGCTTTTGCGATATACGAATAATAATTAATATAAGTACAAAAAAAAAGGAATTCTTTCGTATAGATTTGCAAAAAAAACCCACATTATTTTTCAAAGTTACGAATGGTTAAATCTTTCTTGAATACGCTAGCGCTCGCCAAAACATGTATATCGACGCGTCACGCTAACAATACGCCCGCTAAGTATCGCTCGCTTGCGCGTTTACACGCAATTACGCGAATTTGCGCACGATTCGCGACTGCTAACGTCGTCGGCAAATAAATATCCGCACGTCATTTACGGGACTCATTTACACGCGACAGATGAGGCCTGCAAATGGACCGCGCTATGAGATCCGAACGTCGTCCATATGACTCGTCTGAGATTTGTTTTCGATATCCCCAGTATTTTTGTTCAGAATTTTTTATTGGCAGTCGAAAAGATCTGCTTGCTTTACATATTTTGGAATTAATCGTTTCTGAAGCAACGTTCGCAGCGCCGGTGTTTGACTTTCCGAAAGATTCCTTCCATTTTTATAAGAGCAATGCCCGCGTTCTCAGGAAGATTTTATTCCATATTACAGAAAATATAATTCTTATTGGAAATGTCAAGATCGATAAATAAATAATACCTGATAAATTTTAATAGACGTAACATTGTTTTTTCATTCGTTGTTTCCTAAGTTATTAATAATTTCCTCCAAATTCTCTGTATTTCAAGACGCGCTTTGTTCGATCTAGATATCGGATATTTATCATTTGATCCGCTAAGCAGATACTATTGCTCAGCGTGATTAATAGATCTTATCTGTGCAAAAAACCGGTATAATTACACCAACGTCACATTATATAATCTACTACCGACACTTGTGTCCGTCTGCGCATCGAGAATTTACGCGCCCTCGCGCGCTTGTAGATATTTGCCGCGCGAATTTATTGCCCGTGGCAATCTACGTAATTGTATAATATACTATTCCGTACTTGGAAGTTATTAAAAGATCTCGGACTATTGAAACAGAAATTTAATTCACATTAAAATTCCAAAAGTCTCTAAAAATTTAGATTATTTCTTATTATAGGAAGCTCAGGATTGTTTCAAAATATTTTAATTCACATTGGAATTTCATGAAGAATTATACAATTTGTGGATAAAGTAAAAAAAAGAACACCAACTCTTGTTATATTCATACCCAACAAATATAATTTAATAATAAGCCAAAATCAAGTATAACATATAGTAAAAATTAGTGATACACTGAGAAAAATTTCCGGGCTTTATCCGTTCAAAAAGTAACAAACAGATATTTCCGATTGATTTTGATCGGATTTATAAGACTATCCGATCAAATTTATAGTCCTAAAATTTGATCGGATAGTTTCATAAATCCGATCAAAATCAATCGGAAATATCTGTTTGTTACTTTTTGAACAGACATTTTTCTCAGTGTAGATACATATCGTTGGCGGAACAAATTTCGACTTACTCACAGTCTTTATCACAGTCGAAATTAACACACAAAAGAGTTCGTATACATATATAAACATATATATATATATATATGTATATAACCTAAATCTAAATTCTAACTAGACTGTTCTAACTAACTAAACTAAATTCATAATTCAATGGTGAAAGAGCCATAAATATAAGCAGATTGCAATTACAGAGAGTTTAAGATTGATTAGTCATTGTCTATAACGTAATATACTAATGAAAACCAATTTTATTGTGGTGAATAAATTTTTGAAAGAGAGAAAGAGAGTTCTCTTCCCTCTATCCATGAACCTGTTTTATACTGAGCTTCTTATTTTTATTGCATGCATATATAAACACTAAAAAATTTTCCGCATCAATGCAAACTCTATAAATAAGATGAACTCATGAATAAATTGTACGGACTGACGAGATATAAGAGAAAAAATAAAAAATTTACTACCAATGACTAATAGTAAAATGTAACAAGAGAAATCATGAGTCAACGTAATAAAATTCAAATTTTACAGATATATTACTATTGTCAGATTGAATATTAAAAGAAATGTGAATACACGTACAGGTCAAGGTAGCGTATAATAAATATCACACACTGGTAATAAAAATTGTTGTTAAAGATTCCCTTAAATAAATTTAAACAATTGTCTAACAACTCAGTAAAAAATGTTTCATACATAATTATAAATAAACTGTACATAATTATATATATAATTATGTACAGTTTTATGTATTATATATATATATAATAAATAAAACTATATATGAAGTGTATCCATATATAATTATATATAGTTATAATAGTAGTGTGAAAATTGAAAACAATAATTAATCCAATTTTGTTGCTAAAATATTATTAATTAGCATCACATTCCAAAATACGACAAAATTATAATAAAAGGATATTTGGGAATAAATATCATGGTAGGTGCTCTTAAACAATTATTCACATCTAGCGTTGCTTCACTTATGTGATCCCGTACAATCTAAGAGCATATATGACGGTTACAGCTTTCAAAGACGCAGAAAGAATACTCCGAAAGAGTTTGGAAATTTCCAAGAGACTCAGCAATTCTATTTGCATACGCCTTCTTATAAGATCCTTGGGTGTTTTTTTTTCTACGAGAAGAGCATCCATCTTGTGGCAAAACGTACTTATCTTATATATAATTATGTAAATTAATATACAAATTACAATAGATTATATATATGTATAAAAATATCAATCGTTATGTATATGTAAATACACATAACGAGGAATTTATGTATAATTATATATGAGTTAAACATCATTATACAAAATTATATTTTTATATAATTTTATATAATGATTATAATTATGTATTCAAATTTTTTATCGGGAACACGCGGTATCATATTTAAAATAATACTATTAGTATTTGAAATTTAATATGAATCATTTATAAGTTTTTTATAATAATTGTTTAATTAAGTATTTGTGGACATTGTTTCTTATCTTCAGAAATTCAGGCTCGTAATGCGTCTATTGAAGAAAAAAAAACAGTTTTTTTTTTACTTTGGAGAAAAGTATCAAGTAAAAAACTTTCGTTAACCAAAATGATATACTGAGAATTCATTTTT